GTCCCAGTGCGTGTATGTGGGCGCGTCGGCACATGAGTGGTTGCTACGCTGACTAGGCGGTGCAGACAATCGATGTCCGATGAGCCAGCTTAATGCGACGTGTTCGTGCGTATGCGAAAATAGACAAGCCTCGCGATCCAGTGAGCGACTGTGTGTTGAACAGTCAAGTATATGGGTGACTGGGTCGCTACAAGATCCATTCAGAAAATGTTGTGTGTATCGGTTGTGGATAACTATCCGCATACTTCAATTCCCTTCAACAGAAACTAGCCGGCGTGGCAATATAACTTTGTCATGAGCATTCAAGATAAATTTCCCAGTGCTTGCGATTCTTCATTCCAGAGGTCTGCTAAATTTGACAGGTTTTTTTCTGGGTTGTGAAGACTACCAACAGACTACTAACAGACTGATCAAGTTCCTTCAGTCTAATTTTCTTCATCAATCTGTAATCATCGGGTCATTAACCGCAGGTTCTTTGAAATGTGTTCATTCCAGGTAGGTAACAAGCCGACTGTCATAAAACCACACCACTTGTATGTGTCTTCCACTAGTCCCGTTCATCGCATGATACGATGAACCACTGAAAGACAAAAAGATGTACTTACTGAACCAGCATCCATACTAATTAATCCCTTACAGGAATCGTCGATAACAGCGGATTTCGTTTCTTCCTGACCAGTCAGCTGCATACGTTTGATGTTGGTGTGATCGAACTTGGTTTGGTCTATTCTCCGAGAAATTCAATCCCTCCTGGACAGAAAAAGTTCTCACTCAGTGGATACTGTGACAATCGGTGTACGGATTTGGTGAGTTACTGTCGCGCACTTACCAATAAGACTGTGACTTTGTATCCTCTTCGAATAGGTCGTGTCTATATTTTGCTTGCACCATATAGGTTGAATGCAGGAAGCTTAATCAGGAGTTAGTTTGATGAAAACTTTTACACGCTTATTCTGTTAATCTTCGTGAAACTGACACACGAGAGATCCCAAAGTGGTACACTGCAAACGAACTCTTGGTATTTTATTCAGTCGCGGCGGTAACCGAAGAGCTACCGCAAACATGACCGACAAATATCGTTTCGTGGCTTGAACTTGGGTACGAAGTTGGCTTTGTGACACGTTTCTGATTGCTTCAGCTGCGAAGTGGTTCTGTGGGAAATTGCACACTATGTGGAGCCTAAAAGCGACAATAAACAATAGTTTCTCCTGAAGATTGGACCACTTTGTCTTTGCTTTGGTTCATTATTTGGCCTACGAACATCCAGAAAGTTGGCTCCATGATATTGTAAAACAGTGACACGTCTGCTAGGAACTGTTGGTGCGGTTTTTCACCCAGAACAAGGTCCCCACGCTTGACTGCAGAAATTGTAACAAATAGTTGCTAATCGATGCCAGTAGCGTCATCCGAATTGTTCGACTGAGTACCTGAGGATGTATGCACTCCAGGGTGATGGAGGAAGGCCAGCACCAGGCCCTCCCCCTTCCTCACCCACTGGTTTCTATTCTTTCCACGGTAAGGCTTGACGTACAATTAAATGAACTTTGTCACTGTCAACGGCGGTAAGGTATCAGTGTCCACATCGGTGTTGCTGTCTCTGATGATGATGGTGACGATGACGATGATGATGATGATGTTGAGGATGATGATGATGATGATGGTGGTGGTGAGGATGATGATCAGTATGACCACGGTGACAAGCTTGCCGTTTTGAATGTTCCATCGGTACATACTCACCACCAATAAGGCACTCAAAACGCACTAGTTTCCAAATTACACCTTGAAATTGTTAAGTTCATTATTGCGTTTCGTTACAAGCAAGCAAAGTGGTCGAAGGATGGATGAACAGATTCACAAATCATACGTAGCACGGCATCAGTGAACAATCGGAATGCGCGTGGGCGTCGCAACCTGAATATCTGGTAACCGCTTCTGCTGCGTCCGATTCGAAACGGATAACATATGGTCTGGCGAAAGACAACACTAGTCTGTCACTGAAAATCGAATAAATTAATCCAGAAAACGTGGGGCGAACATCAACGTGATGTACGATTGACTGATCTATTGTCAGTAAAAAAATATTAGTCCTCTAGGCTGTTAGGACAACACGCATGGTTACAAATGTCACCACAATTAGTTATAAACTGTGAACGGTTCAATTAAAAGGATCACAGAATTCGGGGGTAAGCCTACACATGTCTAGGTGGTGCGTTTTACATCTTGCAGCAAATAATACGTTTCGTCCCGCAAACAAACAAAAAATTGCAAAAATGGTCTTGTGAACTTTGTTCAGTGATGGCTATCATAACTCATGCACCTTCCAGCCAAACAGAGATGTTAGAAGAAAACCCACTCCACAGGAAAGTTCACGGCTATTTTCTACTTCAGATTTCAACCAGATTTTCGTTTTCTGGAGACGCTTGGCTCGTCCGTCCACAGAGTCTACAAATTTGTTTCCCCAGTATAGATTTTCCTCCTGAATAGAAAAGGCTAAATTTAGTCGACACCTCAGTCTCCAAAGGACGGATGCCACCTCAGACACATTTAAGAGGCCCAAAATTTTGACTGACTGGGAAAAAATCGAATTCTCGTACGGGATTTTATCACTGATATTCAGGTATGAGCTGGTTCTGACACTGAATGGGATAACGCTCAGTTCTGAACTTTTCCTTCAGATTGGGTTTCAGACCATAACTTCAAACATCAGTATTCATTAAAAGTTTGTTATCAGGGAACAACTGAGCACCAGTTAAATTTATGAAGTACGCCCTAAATGTAAGTGACGCCAGAATCCTTATCGACAGAAATGCATCAGGGTTAAGAAGGACGCCTAACTAGCTAGACAATACAAATGAGAAGTGGCAGCACGCTCGCCACCTAAATCGGTCACGTGCCACGTCCTGTAGGAATTCCAACCACGGTCAAAAGGAATCAGGCTGTGCAAGACAAGAAAGCGCGAGTGTCCAGTAGTACATGTTTCGGTCATCACTCCTTTCATCTAGCATTATCAGGTCATAATATTATTTAACCGTTAAAGTCTAAGTAGGATACCGTTCCTTGGCTCATGGCAATTTTTAGAAGCTCTTAGAATGTTGTAGAATTTTTCACAACCAGGTCAGTTGACATCACATCCCACAATCCGAAGACAAGTCACCTCCTCGAAAGGTCAGAGTGCTTTTTTCCGCGTCATAATCTGATTTGTGTGCTCACAGCAGAACTTTCGTGAATCGACGACAGAATTGACAGAGAACATATAAGACGTCTGAGGAAACTGTGAGGATGGCTGAATGAATTTCCATCCTCATAAAATGGTTTAAAGTACGCTTTTTCACGGAAGAAACAAAGCCGTGCAGGTAGAACATGCGAGCTAGGATTGGACTTTTACCATCCCATTGCTGGTGTTGTATCGAGAAAATCAACCAATCACGAGAAGGGACAGAATTGTCCAATCATGAACCACACGTTCACGCATCGCGTGTATGATCGATAGACCAACCAACCCAGGAAGTGCGCGAGCTGATCTGTGTGAAACAATACACAAAGTTAACGGGTACAATCTGTGGAGATAGTGCACATCAACGCTTATGCGCGATTCCTCCTAGCACAAACCTTGTAAGATTATGAACTAACCTACTTGGTTTAATTAGGCTGCCTGTACAGGTCTTTCATTCCTGATCGATAACGTAAGTGCTCTCATCGCACTGACATACCTTTCAACGCCCCAAGGAGCTAATGGACTCCATCAAGATCCGGAATCCTGCATTTAAGTTGGCACCTCAATGTTATCCACACCGCGTGTATCTGTATTGGAGTTTCGGTGTGTGTGTGTGTGTATGTGTGTGTGAGGCAGATACACAATGGTCTCTTATAATGATCGTCCTTTGACTCATAGAGGCTTGGGCAATGCACGCATAACGGAAATTCATCAGACCAGTTAGTGAGGTAATTAGCCGTAATAGTAAAGTCCGACATGTGCTCGATTCCCAGGATTGGCGCAAAACTTGAGTGAACTATTCAGTGGAACAAATGTCTCCTGAAAGTGCTCATAATAGCTCCAAAAATTGCATCAATTCTTTGCAAATCAGAAAAATATTGGGAGCAGTCTCTGTGCTGGACAACTGTCAGTCGTGAACCACGTAAGTATCCTGTTCCACCAGTTTGCACCGTTCCCAATTTCAGGCCCTTCCAGCTCAAGGGATCACAGTATTCGCTTCCCAACTCCATACACACGGTACAGGTTGGAAGGTGGCTACCTATCATTTAAGGAATGGAAGAAGACTGGCTGATCTGAACCGTGATGACCATTACTCACCGCATTACCAAGAGATACGTTTGCTTCAGAAGCCAGTTCGGGTATACCAGGTATGTGTGTTAACTTATTTCCTGGCTTTATGACCCTACATGCTACTTTTTAATTTCCTAGACCATGTTCCTGGGAAAGACCATGTATGTGGCATCTGCGGCGAAGAAATCCCGGAGAGGATAGTCTTATACTCATATGAATTGAGTAGGCTATGAATAATGGGATGTATGAGGACTGATCTGGTCAAACATTACGAGAATGGTAGACGAAGTGTTCTGTGTCGTACTTACGGCACAACCTTGTGCACTAACTTGAAGGTTGGTTTATTTATCTAAATTGGGTGTCTAAGTTATGCGACCAAAGTCGTACTAGAAAAATTCATCTTGTCAAGTGTTTGTTCGATCAAGTACACTCAGCAACATTCTGCTCTTGCATGACTCTGCCTCTAAACTGTCCATTCACGTGGGGTGAAAACAACTACCACTTGGCCAGTCCTGTGGTTCGTTGATGCTCGAGAGACTGTCGAGCTTAGCCTTTCGGAGCTTGTCCGATGAGTTTTACCCCGTTGGTTTCAGGTTGATCCCGTTAACTGATCTGTTAATCCCGACAGTTTGTACCGTTTGACTTTTTTGAAGCTATTCGAGTTCTGTCAGGTGAATTTGTGTCATTCTTAAACTTCGCGTAAGAGGATAGCGGGTCATACCATCGATGGCTGCGTTCATCCTTCCGTCCGAGTAAATGTGTTCCTGTCATTGTCTACCCCCTTACCGAATCTCGTGCGACCGATGCGGCACACAGCGTTATTTTCTCACGTTCTCATCGGTATTTTTATTAATATCAGTGGTAGAGCGCGAA